TCTATCTATCTATCTATCTATCTATCTATCTATCTATCTATCTATCTCTCTATCTCTCTATCTATCTATCTAATTTATCCTCATGTTCAACAGGGATTTACTCTAACAACTATCCAGCTGAATTAGTGGAGTTTGAATAACACACAGTCGTTGGTAAAGAGACACTGACCTGTTTATTTGGGGATAAACACAAAATTATAAATAACAAAATTATAAATAACAAACAGAAATGGCATCAGGGAACAGTAAAAAGTGCAAATAATATTGTAAACTGTATTAAAAAGGCAAAACACACAAACAACCTGAATAGAAAATAGCCTATTAACGTAGAATCAGTAAAGGATTATCTTAAAACACGTATCGGATTTTTAAAAACTGGATCGGGAGTTTGGATCTAGATCTGCATTATTTTGCAAATATCTGCATCCGATCCGATCCAGATATTGACCGGGACGAGCCTAGTTTTAATTTCTAAAAAAAAAAAGTTTATTTTTCTTGTGTAATTAAAATATTGTAACTAAGTCATTTGGACTTTCAGAGCCTAAATTAGAAATGCATAAATCCACATTAAATACAAACCAATTGTCCCTTTTATACGACATAAACTACCTGTAACATGACAGAGTTTAGTTATTAAACTTTAATTCAGTCTCCCAAATTCCAAAATTTATAAACTCTATTAGTTACTGAGTTAGCTAACAAACGTATTAATCTAAAGCAGTAAATAATCCTTAAAGGAGCTAATGACATAATTCAGGTAATTCCTCCAAAGGATTGAACTGTTTGTAAAGTCATTTTATTCCAGTTAAACACAATTAAAGGTGTTTTTTGTCTGTCCAGAGCTGGTTTTTGGGGCGTAAACTCTTTATTGGGCTGTTTTGTTGTGTTTATTGGCTGTTTCGTTGTGTGTGCAGGTTCAGCTGTACTTCATGATCCTGGAGCGTTTGGGGAAGTGTGAGGAGGCTCTGGAGGTCATCAGGGGGCCGCTGGGGGGTAGGTGGGTGTGTGTGTGTGTGTCTGTGTGTCTATGTGTGTCACTGTTTGTGTGTCTGTGTGTGTTTGTGTGTGTGTGTGTCTCTGTGTGTGTCACTGTGACATGGTCCTGGACCCGGTTGCGTGTCTCTGTGCGTTTCTCCATGTGTGTCACTGTTTGTGTCACTGTGTGTCTTTGTGTGTGTCTGTCTGTCTTTGTGTGTGTGTGAGTCTCTGTGTGTGTCTCTCTGTTTGTCACTATGTATCACTGTGTGTGTTTGTGTGTGTCTCTGGGTGTGTCCATGTGTCTCTGTATGTGTGTCTCTGTATGTGTGTCTATATGTGTGTCTGTATGTGTTTGTGTGTGTCTGTGTGTCTTTGTGTGTCTCACTGTCTCTCTCCGTGTCTCTGTGTTTTTCTGTATGTCGCTGTGTGTGTCTGTGTCTCTCTGTGTCCCTATGTGTGTGTCTGTGTGTGTTACTCTGTGTGTGTCTCTGTGTCTTACTCTGTGTGTCTGTGTGTGCCTCTGTTTGTGTGTGTATCTGTGTGTTACTCTCTGTGTGTCTCTGTATGTGTCTCTGTATGTCTCTGTGTGTGTCTGTGTGTGTTACTCTGTGTGTGTCACTGTCTGTGTATGTGTTTGTGTGTGTCTTTCTGTGCGTGTCTTTCCGTGTGTGTTTCTGTATCTGTGTGTGTGTCTGTGTGTCTATGTGTGTGTCTGTGTGTTACTCTCTCTGTGTGTTTGTGTGTTACTCTCTCTGTGTCCCTGCCTAATCCTCCCTCTGCCCCCCCCAGAGAAGCTGACCAGTGAGCTGCAGAGCAGGGAGAGCAAGTGCATGCTGCTGTACCGCCGCCTGCAGCGCTGGCCCGAGTGCAACGCTCTGGCCCACAAGCTGCTGCTCAACAAGTGAGTCAGCCAGACTCAAGACCACCTCCGGTTACCCCAAACTCTTCTTTCCTTTCAGTCTTTCCAGACTCAAGCCAGTCACACAGAGTTAAATCGTTTAGCTCTGCGTTCAGCTCCGTTTTCTGTCCCCTTCGGGGTCTGAAAGGCGGATGTTTCTTTAGCTTTTTAGCTGTTAGCTCAGGGTTCAAATAGCCGGTTACCCCAAACTTTTCTTTCCTTTCAGTCTTTTCAGACTCAAGCCAGTCACACAGAGTAAAATCGTTTAGCTCTGCGTTCAGCCCCGTTTTCTGTCCCCTTTGGGGTCTGAAAGGAGGATGTTTCTTTAGCTTTTTAGCTGTTAGCTCAGGGTTTGAAATGCATGCTTAATAGTATGTTAGCCCGTTAGCACGTCGTGTGCTCAGCTCCGTGGGGTCAGACGGGTTGGAAAATTACGTTTTCATGTCAAGTACATGCAAAATAAACAGAGAGTCAACAAAATCCATCCCACAAGCTGCTGCTCAACAAGTGAGTCGCCAGCAGAGAACCTCCGGTTACCCCAAACTTTTATTTCCTTTCAGTCTTTCCAGACTCAAGCTAGTAAATCAGAGTAAAATCGTTTAGCTCTGCGTTCAGCCCCGTTTTCTGTCCCCTTTGGGGTCTGAAAGCCTGATGTTTCTTTAGCTTTTTAGCTGTTAGCGCAGGGTTAAAAAAGCTGGTTACCTCAAACTCTTCTTTCCTTTCAGTCTTTCCAGACTCAAGCCAGTCACACAGAGTAAAATCGTTTAGCTCTGCGTTCAGCCCCGTTTTCTGTCCCCTTCGGGGTCTGAAAGCCTGATGTTTCTTTAGCTTTTTAGCTGTTAGCTCAGGGTTCAAAATGCACGCTTTTTTGTATGTTAGCCCGTTGTGCGCTCAGCTCTGTGGGGTCAGACGGGTTGGAAAATTAAGTTTTTATGTCAAGTACATGCAAAATAAACAGGGAGTCAACAAAATCCATCCCACAAGCTGCTGCTCAACAAGTGAGTCGCCAGCAGAGAACCTCCGGTTACCCCAAACTTTTCTTTCTTTTCAGTCTTTCCAGTCTCAAGCTAGTCACACAGAGATTAGCTCTGCGTTCAGCCCCTTTTTCTGTCCCCTTTGGGGTCTGAACGGCGGATGTTTCTTTAGCTTTTTAGCTTGTTAGCTCAGGATTCAAACAGAGTTGCGAACAACTTTTTTAGAATTGCTAACAACTTTTCAGAGTTGCTAACAACTTTTCAGAATTGCTAACAACTTTTCAGAGTTGCAAGCAACTTTTCAGAGTTGCTAACCACTTTTTTAGAGTTGTTAACTTTTCCGTGGGGTCGGACGGGTTGGCAAATTAAGTTTTTATATCAAATACATGCAACATAAACAGGGAATCAACAAACAACATGTTTTCGTTTGAAGTCCATCGTCCAGCCATGTTATCTTTTGGCCTATTTTGGACTGAATATGAGGCGACATGACGCCAGGCGACAAAGAAATATTCAGATTTAGTCTGCTGGAGCTAGAAGACTGATTAGAATCAATCAGGCTGCTTTTGGTAGCTTACAACTTTTCAGAGTTAACAACAACTTTTTTAGAATTGCTAACAACTTTTTTAGAATTGCTAACAACTTTTTTAGAGTTGCTAACAACTTTTCAGAGTTGCCAACACCTTTTTTAGAATTGCTAACAACTTTTGAGTTGCTAACAACTTTTTTAAAATTGCTAACAACTTTTTTAGAATTGCTAACAACTTTTTCAGACTTTCTAACAACTTTTTTAAAAATTACTAACAACTTTTCAGAGTTGCTAACAACGTTTTTAGAATTGCTAACAACTTTTCAGAGTTGCTAACAAATTGTTTAGAGTTGCTAACAACTTTTCAGAGTTGCTAGCAACTTCTCAGAGGGGGTGGGTGGATGTTAGAGGTAGGATTTCAAAGCTAACTCTGAGACAGACGGGTTCTGGAGATGGGAGTTTGGTTTTGGGATGGCGGAGGAAGATATCCAGCTGAGCCAGATGTGTTTTTGTGTCTTTAGCCCTGACGACTGGCAGTTCTACCCGTGCTACTTCGACTCCCTCTTCCACCTGAACGACCAGGCCTGGAGTCCCCCGGAGGAAGGAGAACAGTGAGTCCTGGGTGTGTTGCCGGGGGCGACGGCCGAAGCCAGACTATCCAGGCCCTGACGAGTGTGTGTGTGTGTGTGCGTGTGCGTGTGTGTTTGTGTCTTTGTGTCTGTGTGTGTGTGTCTCTGTGTGTGTGTGTGTGTGTGTGTGTGTGT